ACTACTATTACTACTATTACTACTATTTCTACTATTACTACTATTACTACTACTACTACTACTACTACCGCAAGAACCTTGATTCCCTTTTTAATATGCTCGATCCCCGCCGACTCCTCCGAAAACTTAGCCCTCATAGAGTGAGCCCCCGATGCTTCCAGTACCTTCAACACTATAGGATTCAAAAATCGCATGAAAATTTTTACCTTTTCTTGGTAGTTTTTGAAGGCCCCATAAGTCCACATCTGTGGCTTCATCAGTTCTTCTACCATATACCGATACTGCTCAAACTCATCCTGATCCTTTCGTCTCTTCCGAGCTATACATTCCAATTCAACCCAACACCGCTACGAGTACCCCATTACCCTCACTGACAGAATGCCGTAGAGCGCCCGTGAGACCAGCCTTCGACTCAGCGTCCTCCTCCCGGCCCAACAGTAAGTCCTTCAACCCCTTCATTAACCCTCCCAAAGCCTGGCCCGAATCGGGTGCCAATGATCCTGAAACCAACCACCGTGGAACGTATCGCACAACCTCAACTTTCGAAGGCTATCGTCTCGCATGTTGACAATATTATATCGACTATGACAACTACTATGAAGGCTATAACGATATAAGCTGTAACATTCATCGACACCTACTCGCAGTGGTGTCACCAGATCGTCGCAACAGGGGTGCTCGTTGCCTGAACGCCGAGCCAGGCATTTGGCTCTTCGGTACCGTATTCTAATACCGACCATACACGTTGAAGACAGCGATACGCATACTACCCCCGAGCCTCGAACAGCTACGAACCTTCGCGTTGAAATGATATTCCCACATGCTTGGCGACTTCCTTTTGAGAAGCCATGTGAAAGAATCAACATCAGAATGCTAACACACAAGCAACCCGATCCTCCCGAACTTCAAAACTATCAGCCCTTCCGAAACACGTACCTCAACTGAGGCTCCCCCCCCTTCATATTAGATTATTAAATTTCCCATACCGCATCTAGCCCAACCTTGCACTACTCACAAACGCAATACTCAGCCGATCACTGATGTAGCAAAATCAACATCAAAACATCAAATCATAAAAAAAGATCTACTACAATGTTTTACATAGCATCCCTACGTCGGGCGACCCGATGGGGCTTGAGGAGTGTCCACAACAATGCTCGCAGCCTCACCAACAGAAGGATCCTCCACATCAGCATGGTCCCCCTCTTCCGAGCTCCTACGAAGGCGTTCCTCTTCCTCGCCCTTTTTACGATATCTTTAGCGACAAATAAGCATCAAATCAAAACACGAATAGTGACTACCTCCTGTATAAGAGATATGCGATGAAAATTATAAGTAGGAAAACCGCGACAGAAGCAAGAGTAATACCAGCCACTGCACCCGAGGAAAGCCCTTCTTTCCCAGTCTGGGCTTCAGCACCTTAAAAAATAATACCCATCATCCTAATCACAATATTTGATATTAATAAAAAGCGGTATACCAACAGCGATAGAATTTCACCCGTTTTACGTGAGGTGGCGTAATACTCTGTGAAAAACGTGATGCAGTAGTCGTGAAATATATTTTTCACCAGTGTTATTCATATCACTAGGGTGAAACTCCAACATATACTATTGATACCATTACAGAGATATAACCTCAATACACTAGAGCTCCACTGGTGATGCGGAAAAACATATTTCACGACTACTGCATAGCGCGAATATCGCGTTTTTCACCGAGTTTTACGCCACTTCACGTAAAACGGGTCGTGAAACTCCAATATATGATACTTAGAAACATCAAACCAGCATCGACGTCTCTACTAGCGCCCCCACATCTGCTCACCTCGGCGATATACCAGAGGCTCTCCGTCGAGTACTGCACGGGGAGATCCTCCTTCATCCGATTGGCCTTTTAACCACTCAGTGATAGAATTCGCCGCGTCGTTTTCAGCATAGCCGATGCCGTTCGAAGCCTCTCCGACGGCCATCTGAAATCATACTCTCATTTTTTTCATAATTTTTTTCATAAAATTCTCACCCACTTACCACAGCAACAACTTTGAGTACAAGCTCGTCATCATCAGCATTCTCCTCAAGACGTCTACGCCCGCTTTCTATGTTAGATACAAACCCCAGATTGAGCTCTTCCGAACCGAACTTAGATTTGAGCATTTCATACAGTGACACCTTCCCAGGCCCCGAGGCCTCGTACAGGCCTATATCAATAAGTTGCCTTCTAATACCACTAATCTGATACGACGAAAATACACAACAGTTGGTTAAACATATCATTACCTTATAGTTGGACACAACAGTAGTCTTCCCATTCCGAGGTGGTACCACCGGAATACGAGCCGGCACTGGACACGTGAGATCGGGCAGGTCCTGTTCATACGCCATGTAGTATACGGTCTCGTAGTCTAGTGCTCCTGACCATCATCGGAAACCGCTGTTGGAATATGTTTGCTATACTCGGCTGAGTCTACAAATTTCCTCACTAATTTTACAGGTCTATATGCAAATTCGGGTATAAGTGTACAGAAACCAATGAAAATTTCCCCAATTTTCCTCAAAATTTACCCAATTTTCCTCGGAATTTTCTCAATTTTCCTCAAAATTTCCCCAATTTTCCTCAGAATTTTCCTCAATTTTCCCCAAAATTTCCGCAAATGTCACCTACACATGTAGTCGACCATATGCATATTTTCCCAACCGACTGAGACCAAGGACTACTACCTCTCAAATCAGGATGAGTTAAATAAATCACATCCTTCAAAAGAAGATCAGGATTCAAAATTCCATCGTAAAATACTGGATTCGGAAAACCACCCTGAAAAAAAAATCAAATTTACATATATTCGCCTTCCTCAGCTCAGGAATTTACTCCCTAAGTATTTCACAAATTCAAAAAAATCATATTAGTAGTACTTGTATATAAAAATATATATATTATTATCAATAGATGTAAAGTGCGATATTAAAACCCGTGAAATTTGATGAAATTTTCAATATAAAATGGTGAAGTTTCACCCTAGTGATATAAAAAACACTAGTGAAAAAAACATATTTCACGACTACTGCATGTCACCGCGAATATCGCGTTCCTCACAGACTTTTACGCCACTCCACGTGAAACGAATGAAGCTCCATCAATAAAAACTTAAGTCACATAATATAAACTGTAAATACAATTTCCTCAAAATTTCCACATTTTCACCAAAACATATGCATATTTTCCCACACAAGAAACCATTGCTCACCTTATTGTAGTCTATGAGGCCTCCCCCACAGCGAATAGCTCGCCAAGTCTTAATATCTACCGCAGTGTTGAGGGCGACTACTTCAGAAACCTATTGCAACCACCACGTTGATTCACAACTTCTAATAGCACTTACTTTATTTTCATTCAAGCCCGCCCTGGGGATATAGTACTCCGCACCTTGCGCGTATATAGCAGTATCACTAGGGCCTTCCAGAGCAACGACACTGTTGTTAATCTGATATCAAAATGAATATCATCAACGACATAGTGTAAAACTAACCTGGCCGGATGCAGCGATAGTTTGAATATTCTTGCTGAGCTCTTTAGTATTCTCCTCAGAGAACATATAGTAAACATGAGCGTCCTCCATCATACGCGCCACATAGGAATCAGGCTTAGGAAAATACCTAAAATAAATATTCAAAAATAACATCAACTTCAACAGTTACCAAACTTTGCCTTGAAATGCACTGCCCATCCACACTGAAGGCTTATACGACGCCCTTGCAGCGAGCGCTGAAGCTTGCATATAGCTGGATCTTGTGCTCAGGAAATGTGATGCAGCAGTACTATACTGAACATAAAATGGCGATACAAAAGACAACAAGAGTTGGAGAAATTACGGTATCTGTTAGTAAACCCATAAATAGGATCCACGTGAGCCGACCAAGCGGACTAGCCTCGTAGCGATCACTAAATGGTAATATAGGAGTCTTTGTTACAGCCTTATACGACTCTACCGACCCAGCAGATACCATCACTGCGGATAACTGTAAACAGCGATGTCGGAATTACCGATGTTACACACTACTACATCTAGTTCGTTGAGTTTTGTTGCATTATTAGGTCCCCCAAAAGCACCAGTGCATTTCCCTGAGGAGAATGAACAGCCTGGCTCCTTCTTGCACTCGGCCTCAGTTGAGGTAGCAGTGCATTGCCAAGTTTTAATCTGAAAAAAATATTAGAGTTGTGAATTGAATGACAAAATAGAGAATAACTATTTTCTCAAATAGTAATATAAAATTGCGTAAATTCTTATTAAAAATTATTTCCGAAATAGCAATACAAAATTGTGTAAATTCTTATTAAAAGTTAGACTTTTCCGAAATAAATATACAAAATTTTGTAAATTTTTATTAAAAATTACATTTTTTTCCAAAATAATAATACGAAATTGTGTAAATTCTTATTCAAAAATACATTTTTCCCAAATATTAATATATAATGCTGTAAATTTTTATTGGAAATTACAAAACTAACAAGAACCTTTCACACAACTACAAAGAAGGTAGACGCAGTAATCCTACTCCTAAAGCCACAACTTGATATCATTTGAAAATACCAAATATGCATATACTAAATATAGTGGTAACTAATTACATCTATAATGGTGATATTCATAAAACAGCGATTATAATGTATCAACATGTTAGTATAATATATATGGATAGAGTTAACTAACTAGATGTACCCCTATTATTCATTTACCAAGAAACAAAACGAGTAATGAAAAATTTCCCCTCACCTGAGGTAGACGGGCTTGCAGTAGAGGTTCTTTAGGTAGAAGCAGATCGGCCTTGTTGAGGTAAGCACTAACAGTAGTCAGTTTACCAAGGCCTTTATCCAGTATTCCAACCTGTCAAGAATCGTAGCAATTATGGTATTAAAAATTTTAGATTCACCATAAGAGTCTCAGTGAGTCCCATCTCTTTAACTGGCGTTTTCACTTTGATGTAGTCGGCAAAACTGTCCGGGTTGCTGACCGTCGGGTCTTCAGTGCCACAGCGCACGAGCAACACTTTTACCATCACTGACGGCTTTGATAGGACTTCTAAAGTAGCGTAGTATCTTGAAAAAAATATTAGTTGGGAAAAATAACAGAAAAAAAACCAACTCACTTGTGAGACTGGAAATTCGTGATGGTTTTGGAGTAGTCGGAAAAATACGGTATGTTGCTGGGAAAATATTCAACATTCTTGGCCTTGTCGAAACCCACGACAGGATCCACGCATTGCTGCCACTGTGCTGATGCTATCACCAAGGATGAGATGAAATAGACGATAAATAAGGTCACAATGAGCATCGTGACTGGGGGGAAACTAATAACTGATCATTCCAACAGGCATACGAAACTGGGCAATACACAATGGTTCTCCTGAGCAAGAAGTTAACACACGATGTAGAGTAGGGGTGTAGAGGAACCCACATGAAATTTTCCAGATTGTCACCAAAACATGTGCGTATTTTCTCATCATTGTGAGACTTCGGAAAAACCCGCAATAGTTCACTGAATTGAACAACCCTTAGTCTTGAATTTCACAACACAGAAATGATTTTGTCGGAATTCGAACTACTTTATATCAGAGTTTCACCACCCGTTTAACGTGGCGTAATACTCTGTGGAAAACGCGATACTCGCGCTATGCAGTAGTCGTGAAATATATTTTCGTTCCTGACAGAAATGAGAGCCGTTTTTAAGAGTACTTGCGGAATGAACTACATCTTTTAAGCATATAGTTCGTTTTTGGAACCATCAATTTCGTCGGGAGGTTGTCCATGAAAACAGTGAATCCTGGAAATGGTGAACCAGAAAAAATTCCCCACGAACCCTGATGGCAGTGAAGGAACTACCGCGCGCCACGAGCGCGCGCCAACAAAATTCAAGCCGAGATCCCCTTACGTCATATGTGTTATAATCGACCGGTTGGTCTAGTCGGTAGGAGTTAGAGTTAGTAACCGACTGTCCAAGGTTCAAATGATTTGAATCAAATCCTGTGATCATCATGGTAATTTTGTAATTGAGACGCGGTTCAACGGTTGAACTGGCACAATTGCCCCGGTGACACGAAATTGAAGTTCCGCACAACGAAGTCGATTTTCCTAAAGGGACGAAGTTGAAGGTCTGAAGGTGTACTTGACGGAATTGGAACTTCTATGACGAACTCGAAGGTTCGAAAGGCGAAATTAAAAGTTCTATTAACACGAATTTGAACTTCCTATCGACTTCGGACGAACTTGAATGTTCTATGACTAAGTTGAAAGTTCTAATTATGAATATGAAACGTACCTTCAACTTCGCGCGTCCCGACGAAATTGATGGTTCCGAAAAACGAACTAGATGTTTAAAAGGTGTAGTAGGCCTTAAGAGCGTTGGGGGAACTGTTCTCCCAACGCTCCTAGGGCGCGAAACGACAAACTGACTAAGCTGATCTACCCACTACCGCCTTCGTTAAGGCCATCTTACGAGCAGAATCTTCCACCGTTCAGTATTCATGTGGCATAGTCATGGATTATGTCGAGATTACATCGTGTGGTATCATCAGCCCTTAGATATAAACACATCTGTTTCCTTTCCATCATTTCTCTTATCGTCTCTACCATCTTTTCTATAGATGGGCACAATTACGTTACGGACCGTTACGGCTGCTCAC